TGGTAGCGCGTGCCTGTAGTTCCATCTACTTGGAAGGCTGAGGCGGAAGGATCGCCGGAGCCCAGCAGGTCAAAGCTGGGGTGGCTGTGAGTGTGCTACTGCACTCCAGCCTGGGCGACGGAGTGAGACCCAACTCAAAAAAAAAAAGATGTCAAAATAGCCAGGGGATCACACTTCTACTTCTCTACAAAAAATAGAAAAATTAGCTGGGCATAGTGATGCATTCCTGTAATCCCAGCTCCTTGGGAGGCTGAGTCAGGAGGAACACTTGAGCCCAGGAGTTTGAGGCTGCAGTAAGCTGTGGTTGTGCTACTGCACTCCAGGCTGGGCAACAGAGTGAGACCCTGTCTTTAAAAAAAAAAAAGTTGAAACATCCAGATATACAGAAAATTATCTATCCATATATATATAAAATATATATATTTAATACATGCAATACATCTTATGAGGAAACTAATGGACAAAATGTAGAGAGAGTGTTGGGGCTAGAAGCACCAGCATCTCAGACGGTTAGCTTAAAGTTGCCTTGATTATACCTTGCTGTTTGAAAGGGACGAGAGTGGTTTTCAGACGTGTGGGTGCGCATTCGCGTACTTTGGTAGTTATCCAGCCCAGAGAACACAGAGACCTGTAGTCCACACTACAACTTGAGATCACCGCGCCATGCTGGTGAAGTGGGCTTTACCAGTCCTGCCAGCCAGGCCTGGGGGAGACAGACCTTACAGGAATGAATGTCAGCGCATATGGGGGCGTGAGCTGGAGGGGCTATCCCTGTGTCAGCGGCACTCATCACATCAGGTGTCAGTTCTTGCTACCCTGAGCTTCCTGAGTAACAGAGAAAGAGGCGTTTGGAGCCCAGGCCTGGGTCATTTCGGCGGCATACCTGAGCCAAATCCCCGCCTGCTCCTGTGTGGTTTTCCGGGATGAGGGTCCCTGTTCCTGCGGGAGGTGGTCAGGACGTGCAGCTGACTCACCACACTCCTGGGGGGTGACGCTTGTGCCACTCGGAGGGGTTCTTCCAACAGCTGGCTGTGCAGATGATGGAGAAATATGAGGCCCAATTAGGCCAGCAAACAGTTGGGTAGATCATACCGAGGAAGGGAATCTCTGGATGAGATTTTACAGATGTTACAAAGAAACGTACTGATCACAGCAAGAGTTGCAAAAGCTCACCGACCAGCTGTAGATCTCTGTAGTAAATAACCTTTAGCCTGCAGTCAACGGAAAAGCAGTTAGCCGTTACTGTTAATTAACCCTCTCTTAAAAGAACAGACATCCCCATCAATCGGTTGTCTTGTGGAACTCATCACACAGATAACTGCCCGCTTGCAAGCCTCTCTGTGCCACCCAGGCAGTTTCCCTGCTGCCACACTAATCACCTGTGCGGCCTTATAAAAAATGCCTTTAGGCCTACCTCCTGGCAGAAGGCAAACAGCCTCTTTCCACTGCTCTGCCTCCCGTTCTCTTCACGGTGGATCTTCCCTTAAATAACTCTGCCCTAAGTTCAATTGTCTTGGTAAATTCCTTCACCATCCACAAATCCGGTCTCAACTAGCCACACACATGGCACAAATGACAGAGACCAAGGATTTAGAGACTCCCCCTTCAGTCCACACAGGGCACTGACACAGATACTACTGATGATTGAGAACTCGTGTTGAGCCACCAAAATGACAAAGGACAGAGCTTACCAAAGGAGAGTCTGGCAAAGAGTCAGGCTTAATTAACGTTCTGTTATATGGTCTAATGGAAGGGAGAAGGTAGCAGCATTAAAAATAACAGGAAATGCCGGGCCTGGTGGCTCACACCTATAATCCCAGCACTTTGGGAGACCAAGGTGAGAGGATCGCTTGAGCTAGGAGTTTGAGATCAGCCTGGGCAACATAGCCAGACCTCATCTCTACAAAAATAAAAAAATTACCGGATGTGGTGGCACACACCTGTAGTTCCAGCTACTTGAGAGGCTGAGGTGGAAGGATCACCTGAGCCCAGCAGGTCAAAGCTATGGTGAGCTGTGATTGTGCCACTGCACTGCAGCCTGGGTGACAGAGAAAGACCCTGATCTAATAAAAATAATCATCATAATAATAGGAAAACAACACTGTTTAAGCTTTACTTCCAGACTTTTCCCCTAAAAGATAATTTTGCCAAGACTGTTATAACCAGTACTTAACTGGACTGAATTACATGTTGCTATACTGTCTGTCTGTGAGTGATGACGAGACAGGCATGGAAGGGCAAAGGAAGCAAGTGGCATTGCTTTTAGCTCTGGCAACCAGGGCTCCTGCCCTTGGTCTTGTGCTTTCAAGGGCCATGCTTCTCCCCAAGAATGAGGAGATCACAGGGCCAAAGGGACA